TTTTTAGTAGAGATAGGTTCTTGTTCTTTTTCAGGCTGGTCTCGAACTCTGGAGCTCGAGCAATCCACCCGCCTCGGCTCCCACAGTGTTAGGATTACAGGCCTGAGTCAATGCATGTGACCTTGAGACTCATCATTATTAAAAAAATGATGAGAAGGATGGGAAAGGAGACGGATGCCATAATATTGGTAACGTTTCTTCCTTTCCAAAAGTTCGGGTTAGGTTCTGAGCAGCTGGGAAACGGCCTTTTGTATCTCACTGCCACCTAACTTGACCTTGAAAACACTCTGTAGTGAACAGATGGAAGAGCGTATGTACTTCTTGCAGTTTAGTCACAGCAACTGAAGGGTGTGACGGGTGTGTGTGGGTGAGGCACCAGGCCACAACCACAGGCTGAAGCACTTATGAACCACCTCCTCTAATCAGCACATGTACCCAAGTGTCAAAACATAGGGATGCGCCTTTTAAATGTTTTTTAATAAAACGTCTTTTATTCCTTTGGGTAAATCCCCAAAAGTGGGACTGCTGGATCAAATGGTAGGTCTACTTTCAGGGCTTTGAGGTATCTCCCTGCCTTCCATAGAGGTGGTGCTATTCTGCTATTGCGCCTACAGTCTGTCTACAATTCTAAGCATCACGAGAAGGGAAAAACAAACCCCGCATGTACTCAGTACTAAATTGGAACTAATCAATCAACACTTATGTGCACATATGGAAGTAAAACTCAGTGAAAATCCAGCAGGTGGGAGGGGAAGGAGGAGACGGGTAAAGTCACACCTAACAGACACAGTGCACACCGTCTGAGTGAAGGGCACACTGAGAACTTTGACTCGACCTGTACAAAAGCAACTGATATAATCAAAATGTGTGCGCCCCTGTAATATTCTGAAATTTAAAAGAAAATATAGACATGAAGGAATTAAAGTGTACTTCCTCCTCCAGGGATCATTCAAACCAGACCCTTCTCCCAGGCTTGTCTGAAGAATATTTTTTCCCATTGAAAACCTGTACTTGGACAATTGCTTTTTCCCTTTGTTTGTCTTTTGATATATTTAGAAGGTGAGGTCCAAGTACCACAGTTCAAAGATACTGACCTTAGAAATAAGTATTAGAGGGTTCCTTGGAAAAACGTGGACTCACATGTAATCTACAATATGTTTTTAAAGGATGGAAACACAGTTGTCTTTACTGGGTCTATTTTCTGTAGAAGGCATATTAGCTGCTTTCTGCTGAGAATTACAGCTATAAAGCAGCTACATGTGCTAAGAAACACTACCAATGTTAGGGCTGAGAAAATTTAATCCTTTTTTTGGTGATTTTTTTAAATTCCTCATAGCTGTGTACATTAATGCAGTCATGGGGTACAGTGTGCTGGTTTTATATCCAATTTGAAATACTTTCGTCAAACTGGTAAATTTAATCTTCTTGATGGAAACATTAATGATGTTTTGAATACATTTATTCCTGCTTAGGAATTCTTGAGAAAACAAAAACAGATGTTGCTGCTTTCTTTCATTTTTATATGTAGAAAAAAAAAATACCAAACCACATAATTTGGCAATGATGAAAGTTAAAAAAAAAATTTTTTTTTTTGGCAGACATTGCAAATTAGATTTAATCCACATAAACTGACGGATGTCCACAATTATGGAATTTAGAAAGCAAAAAGGAAACAGAAGGCTGGCGATGTTTAACAGAAGAAATCGTATTTACTATTCTTCACTGCTTCCCTCACATTAGCCAGCTGAAGAGTAACTCTAAGCCAATATGTAAGACTAGATCACGGTTATGTGACTTAGTAAGCTGAATTAGAGTTAAGCGATTTAGTAAGCTAGGTCCTTTTTATATTTACACTATATGAACAGGGCACAATGATTTCAGAACAAAAAACACCTCATTGTTTTAAGCCATCAGATTTTATAGTTTTTATAATTTCTTCTTATTTTTCTTTTGAAAGCTGCTAAATACAAAAATATCCTGGTCCCAAATCACATATGTAAATGTGTGTATATATATATATATATATATGTCATCTGTAGTAATATTTACAAGTGGAATTTGTTTTCCTGTGTCACAGGGCTTTCAAACAAATTAATGCATGAGTCCATTTCTGTTTCTGGTTCCAAAATGTTTACACCATTAGCTGTGTACATCATTCGTAATTCAAAATGATGTCAACACCCCGCAGAATACTTGAGGGCAAAGTACTTCAGATAGATTTGATTTCCATCCTTTAAAAACATATTGTAGATTACATGGGAGTCCAGTTTCTTTCTTTCTTTCTTTTTTGAGACAGAGCCTTAAGCTGTCACCCTGGGCAGAGTGCTGTGGCATCACAGCTCACAGCAACCTCCAATTCCTGGGCTCAAGCGATTCTCCTGCCTCCTCCTCCCAAGTATCTGGGACTACAGGTCCCTGCCACAATGCCCGGCTATTTTTCGGTTGCAGCCGTCATTGTTGTTTGGCGGGCTGGGCTGGATTTGAACCTGCCAGCTCAGGTGTGTGTGGCTGGCACTTTAGCTGCTTGAGCCACAGGTGCTGAGCCCCCGTTACTTTCTTAAAGTGTGAATATGTCTCAGTTATTTTTCATGTTCTGGGCCATGGACACAGAATAGAAATACACGTGGAGTATCTGAAATCAGAGCAAATACATCACCTGTCTTCATAATTTTCTTTCCTTTCCCACTGATGGGGTGGCTTCTGTTTTACGTCTTCTTTGTTGGATGGAGGCAGGTTGTGCTTTGTGTCTCCCGTTATAATTCATCTACACTGAATCACGGCAACCCTTTCTTGCTTTCTGACATGTGGCAGGAAATGCCTGCTATCTCCTCCTGTTCTCTTAATCCCAGTTGAAGCAAATAGATGGCATCTGCTAGTTGTTCTACCTTTTTATCTAAGAAAGAGTCTCTTTTTTTCATTTCTTATCTGAAAATATGTACAAAATAGCCCTCATGTTGGCTGGGCATGGTGGCTCAGACCTGTAATCCCAGCACTTTGGGTGGCGAGGCAGATATATTGCCTGAGCTCAGGAATTCGAGACCAGCTGGAGCTAGAGCGAGACCTCATCTCTAAAACAGCCGGGCATTGTGGCCAGGCGCCTGTAGTCTCAGCTACTCAGGAGGCTGAGGTAAGAGAATCGCTTGAGCCCAAGAGTTTGAGGTTACTGTGAGTTATGATGGCATGGCACTCTACTGAGGGGGATAAAGTGAGACTCTGTCTCAGAAAAATAAAATAGCCCTCATTTTATAACCAAAATATGGAACCCAAGAAGAGAGGCTGGTCTTGGACAGAAACATGATAGCTCATCCATAGTCCCAGGGAAGAATGTAGGATGGATTTGGACAGGTGCAGGGATGAGCAAGGTGGGTAAATGTCCTGATGGGAGCTGGGGCAACTTTTTTTTTGATTGCTTTTATTTTCTCTGTGAAATGGGCAGCAAAATCATTAGCTGAGAGAATGTGGGTGAGGAAACAGGTTTTGAAGGTTTTATAAGAGAGGACGAGGTATAAATGGTTTTCTAAGTTTGTGGGGGTGGACAATTGGGCCAGGGAGCTCAGGTGTCACCAAGGGCCCAGGACGGAGCAGGGAAAAGGTTGGATTGAACCAGGGTTTGAGGAAAGGGCAAGACATCTGAGAAAAGAATATAGCATTCCAGTGAGGGCCTGTGAAATGTAATCACGTGTAGAGAAAAGGGCAGAAGAATGGTGAAGCAGATCTTGAATGTCTGGAATGAAGGAACCAGACTGATCTGGAATGAGAAAGTCTGGATCTGAGGATAGTCAAAGACTAATTTATTGAACACCAATATCAATCAATATGTATTGATTCAAAGAACTGTGATAGGTACAGTGGGAATATAAAGTGTAAAGAAAGCCCTCTGTGGGCTCGGTGCCCGTAATACAGGGGTTATGGCACCAGCCACATACACTAGGGCTGGCGGGTTCAAACCCAGCCTGAGCCAGCTAAACAACAATGACAGCGGCAACAAAAGAAATAGCTGGGCGTGTGGCAGG